TTTTTTTTTTTTTTTTTTTTTTTTTTTAGTCTCTATTGCATTGATTTCTGCTCTGATTTTTTATAATTTCTTCTCTTCTTTTGGTTTTGGGCTTGACCTGCTCTTCTTTTTCTAGATGTTTGAGGTGTAACATCAGGTTATTTATTTGTATTCGTTCTGTTTTCCTGATGTGTGAACTCAGTGCTATAAGTTTTCCTCTGAGAACAGCTTTCATTGCATCCCACAGATTCCGGTAAGTTGTATTTGTGTTTTCATTTTCTTGTGGGTAGTGTTTAATTTCTTCTTTGATTTCCTCTATGACCCACTGATTACTCAAGAGTGTGTTATTCAGTTTCCATGTGTTTGTGGGAATTTTGTAGTGTCTTTTATCATTAATTTCTAATTTCATAGCGCTATGGTCTGATAGCATGCAAGGGATGATTTCAATCCTTTTGCATTTATTTAGATACGTTTTGTGAATTAATATATGGTCTATTTTAGAAAATGACCCATGTACTGCTGAGAAGAATGTATTCTGTTGTTGTTGGGTGGAATACTCTGTATATGTCTATTAAGTCCATTTGTTCACAGGTGTGATTCAGTTCTTTTATTTCTTTGCTGATTTTCTGTCTGGTTGATCTGTCCATTCGTGTCAATGGCGTGTTAAGATCTCCTGTTAGAATTGTGTCACTGTTAACTTGGTTTTTCATTTCTGTTAGTACTTGTGTTATATAACTGGGTGCTCTGGAATTTGGTGATATATATTTAAGATAGTTATCTCTTCCTCTTGGAGTTTTCCCCTAACCAGTATGTAGTGACCTTCTTTATCCCTTCTGATCATTATTGGCTTGAAGTTCACATTGTCTACAAACAGAATAGCCACCCCCTCTTTTTTTCTGGGTTCCTGTTGCATGAAGTATTGTTTTCCATCCTTTGACTTTCAGTCTGTGGGTATCTTTTTCGGTTAGATGGGTTTCTTGTAGACAGCATATGGTTGGATTTTGTTTCTTAATCCATTCTGCCAGTCTGTTTCTTTTAATTGGTGCATTGAGACCACTTACATTAATGGTTATAACTGTTATATATTGGTTTATTGTTGACATGTTATCTTTCTGCTGTTGCATCTTTGTCTTTCGGTTCTGTTTAATTGTCTGCTTTGTTTAGTGGTTTTTTTCCTAGATGCATCTAGGCTGTCTTTCAGTATTCTTTGCAGGGTTGGCTTGGTGATCATGTAGTTTTTCAGCTGTTCTTTGTCATGGAAGCATCTTATTTCTCCATCCATTTTGAAGGACAGTTTTGCAGGATACATCAGCCTAGGTTGAAATCATTTTCCTTTAGGATCTGAAATACTTCACTCCATTCTCTTCCTGACTTTATTGTTTGTGCTGAGAAATCTGCTGTGATTCTGATAGGTTTTCCTTTATAGGTGATCTGTCTTTTCTCTCTGACAGCTTTTAATATTCTATTCTTTTGTTCAATTTCTGGGATGGCCATTACTATGTGTCTGGGTGTAGTTTTATTTTGGTTATGGCTATTTGGAGTTCTGTGTGCTTCACTGATCTTGATATCAGTTTCCAGTCTCATGTTTGGGAAATTTTCAGCTATTACTTCTCTAAATATCCTCTTGACATCCTTTATGTTGTTCCCTTCTTTTTCATTTATCCCTATTAACCTTATGTTGTTCCTTTTTGCGTCCTCTTGCAGGTGTTGAATTATTTCCTGATTTCTTGTTATTTTTAAAAGATCTTTCCTTTCCTGTTCACTGGCTGCAATCTTGTCTTCAAGGTCTGAAATTCTATCTTCACATTCATTGAGGTGGTTTTTACAACTTTCGATGGAGTTTTTGATTTCCTGTATATCTCTTTGCTTCTGCTTTATATATTCTGTTTGTTTCTTATATTGTTCATCCAGGGATTCTATCTTTTTGTTTACTGTCTCAAGTTTTTTAACTGTGTCTTCTTTAGATATGTTCAGCATCTCCTTCATTTCTTTTATCATTTCTTCTTTTACTTGGGAAATTATTTCTAGTTTCATTTCCTTTAAGGCTTCCCAGAGTTGATTCTTTATTTCAGTTACTATTATTTCAGGTATGTGGCATATATTTTCTTCTATACAAATGGCTCCTAGGCTTTCTTGGGATGGGCTGGATGTTTGAGACTGCATTTTGGTCTTTTGTTTTGTCATTTTCCTATATTTTTGCACTTCAAGTTTTGTTCCAAGTCAGATAGAGAGGTCAGCCAGGCTGGGACAGAGGTCCCTGCTCCCTCCTTACTCACTGATTTGGACAGGAAGCTGGATCCTGGGTCCCAGGGGAAGAAAACAGTTCACTGGTCTTGGGCGGGGTTCCCTGCCTCCGCTGTGGACCAACAGGTTGCCAGAAGAGCCTGGCCCCCAGGTGAACAGGAGAGTTCCATGCCTCTGCTGGACTTACCTGACCCACAGGCAGCTGGATCCTTGGCCCCAGGCGAAGAAAACAGTTTGCCAGACCTAGGGGCGGGGTTCCCTGCCTCTGCTGGTCTTACCAGACCAACAGGGAGCAGGAGGAGCCTGGCCCCCAGGCAAACAGGAGAGTTCCACGCCTCTGCTGGGCTTATGCAACCCCCAGGCCCACAATGTTTAATAAATTCTAAAGTTTCAGTATGATACTCTGACACCTTTTTGAAGTTAGCAACTGATTTAGAATAAAAATCAGTTCATCCATGAAACAGTTACAAGCCATTTTTTTGAACAAAAAGCAGTAAGCTTATAGATTTCTTCAGAAAAAGCAGTAGTAGAAGGTATAAATGCTCTCAGGAAAAGGCAGTTCTTTCTCATAACTACTACTAACAATAGTACTAACAAGAATATAATATGTATTGAAGCCTTACTATGAGGCAGGAATGTACTTTACATGTATTAATTCCTTTAGTTAGGAGGCTAACTTCCCAATGAATTCAGAATTTTCATTAACATTTTAAAAATAACATCTGCAACCAATCACAATGATTAATAGTCTGACAATTTTTCTAATGTCATAACTAATCTGATACCCTCCAAATAATACCGAGAGGTGGTTTTTCCTTTGAGTTTGATTTAGAAATTGCAATCATCCCATGAAATTTACAGCTTTAGAAATTTCAAAACTTATTATTACCTATTCACTCCCTCAATTAAAAATTAAAAGAAGTTAATGCTAACCAGCCATTTACCATATTCCGCTATGGAATAATTATAAAATTATTATAATTTTATATTATAACACTATAATTATAAAAACTTGTTGTCTAAGCCAAAATGGGCCATTATCTTCCAGAGTGAGACCTAGGAATTTTCTAATCTTGTATTTTCTTACACTGCTTTCTTTTTCCTTCCTATCAATAAAGGAAACTGACATTAAGAAATACACTATACAGTGAAAGTAATTATTCCAGGACAAGAGTAAATTGAGGCTCTTCTGAAGGAAACGGCATGTATGATCTCCCTACTCCTAACACTTGATGTTCTATGACCTGTTTTCTCTTAACTCTACTGTTCTCTGCAACTATACCATTAATACTTTTACTCCTTAACCCAAAATTTTAATCTGAAGAATCTAAGGCCTGCTTGTACATAATCCTTCTAGACAGAAAAAAAAAATTCACATCTTTTACATAATGATAATTTCCTGTAATAAGGTTACTTGTTGTCTAGTGTACACTTGTGTAGAAACTTTTCAAAAGGAACATAAATTACCTTCAGAAAATTTCTGTTGATGCATTAGTATAATATTTAAACATGAGAAAAACTCCTCTCACATTTCCTTTCCTCTTCAAATACTGACTACTTTTAAAAACAGAAATGTGAGAGATAATCTAGGAAAGCTTTTGGAGTTGAAATCTCTTTAATTAGTATTCTCCCAGGTAGAATGCCCACAGGAATGTGCTCCACTGGAATATGGAACAATAATATTAAAATTTTTGTTTATCTAAATAGAAGAAAAACTAAGCCTCAGTAATATTTAGTTAGGCTCAATACTGCCATTCTTACATGTTACAATGGTACGTAACTGTTAACTCAGGGAAAAATACAAGTTTGACACTCAGAAAGGCTGCCTTTGTTAGTTTATTTTCCATATAGTACAATATGTTGTAGTTTACAAGTGCCCAATTAAATGAATTACCTGTTTTTAATTAAATTACCAGCACAAAAGAACTTAAGCACAATACAGTAAAGAAATCAGTTTGAAGATAGTCAACAAAACCAAAAGAAAAAAGGAGCTGACACATTATCCTAATTAAGGTTTTTGTAAACTGTAAATATTACATATGAACTATGATAGCAAGACAAAAGCAATTATAAATTATCACAAACCTCCTTGTAACTTAACACAGGCATTTTTACGTGTCACAATGGTATGTAACTGTTAGGAAAAGGTGGAAGTTTGACAGCACAAAAAGTGTTGTCCTTGAGTAAGTAAGTTTGACTTTAACATACTGATACCAGATGATGCAACCTTGACCAAATAAGCAGCCCAATCTAGTGCAAACACTTAGCATTACTCATTTGTTTATTGGATGAAATAAAATTTGCTTCAAGGTACAGCCTCATAGTACCTGTATCACCAGAGTTGGAAGTTCTATTCAGTTTTCAGTGCTACCCTCACTCCCTTACACTAGTAAACACAGAAATATTTAAAGTAAGTGGTAGATAAGTGAAAAGCAAAAGATTAGTAATCAGGTTTTACTACTTAGAAAATTGAATTTTGATTTTCAGTCTTAAATATTATAGATTTGTCAACAAACAAAACAGCAGTGGGCAAGTTTGTACTCAAGCTCTTAAGTATTTAGCATATAAATATATAAAGGAAAGAAAACAGTATTTCATAAAATGTTATTTCTCAGAAACGTTACCAAGGATTGTACTTTATTGTGGAAAAAAAACTGTCAGGAATGCAATATAGCACTCAGTGAAATCATAGTACTGTGTTCTTAATGCAGCTTCTTTTCTGAGTACTTACTGGAATCTAATGAGCTTTAAAATAAGTATGCTCATACGTTTTCAAGGTTTCCACACACGGACAGCTCCAGTTACAAGAAGGCAATTCCCACATGGTGCACACAGGATGGATTATCTGCATTTTGAGGATGACAGCCGTGGATGGTGGTTTGACATGGATATGGTGATCATCTACATTTACTCAGTGAACTGGGTCATTGGATTCATTGTTTTCTGCTTTCTTTGCTATTTTTTCTTTCCGTTTTAGGAATTGTGATACCTTACAATAGTTGAACAATCATAAATGTAAAGAACAATTACTTAATTTTTAAAATGTGCTTTTATAATGTTGACTATATAAATCTATTTATAGAAAGTGTGAAAATAATGGATTTATTTATTAATGTTTTTCATGTGACTAAACTATTCAAAAGTTTATCTAGCATTTAGCAACAATGCAGTATTAATTTCATAGGTCTTGGGTTTAGTATTTGGGACTCTAATTTTACAATGACACTTTTATACTTATTTTGATTGTTACAGACTGAGGATTTTCTCTGCACTCAAAATCATAAAAGTACAAAATGAAAATTATAATCTTGGTACAAAGTAACTATATTAATAAAATGTTTAGTCAGTTACTACTTATTCTTAGGCAAATGATATGCATTAAAGATAAGACTATATTCTCTGGGAGCTATCTAGCAGGGTATATTCCATTTGGTTTCCAATTATTTCTACTTATCTTGTCTTCTATTACCAATAAAACCTGACTGTCTTTTTTACATAGATCTAACAATAACTTCAATACAACGTTTTTATTGTAAACAACAGAACAGTAAATACAAATGAACTCTGAGACTAACCCTCTACCCATAGATACTTTAACGAGCCATGTTAACTTTTATAATTTCAGGATAAATCACTTGAAGAAATAAAAAAAATCAACTTTTAGTAATCTAAGAGAGCAATGCATGTTCAAAATATAATTTAGTGATTCATTTAATTAGAAGGTTGTCAAGTATGTAGTAAATATGCAATAAAGAGTGGCTTTTAAATTTTTTTTTATTTTTTGGTAATTGATTTAATGACTGGACTATAGAATTGTGGAAAATAGTTGAATGTAGAACCAAAAAACCCTGACATTTATTTTTATTTCAGGTAACCCTTTAAATTATTTTTTTCTTATTAAAATTAAAAAATCTGAATTTTTCAAATATAGGAAGAAATTGGGCAGGTATCCCAATTTCAAAAGTGAACAAAGTAGCAGAAAAACACATAAATTTATTTATCAAATTTCTCAGGTGTTTTTTGTGAAATCTAGGGCAAAAGTCTCAATTATGAACTACTAATACAACATGTCTATGCTATGATATTATATATCTGATAATTCAGTAAGTATATTCTAACATAAAATAGACAAATCTCCGTGCCTAATTGACCTAATAACTATTGATGGTATTTAATTATAAGCACTTAGCTGTTGGTATGTGATGTTCAAAGAAATATAGAAGAATAGTACAGATTTTTATTAATAATATTCTTATTGGTGTTTAAAATTATGTGTGAAAGAAAATAATAGTATATATGTGACATTGTCATATCCAAGAAATAGGAAAGTACCACAGTGTACAAACAGAGATAAATTTGTGTTTATAAAGGATATTTACAATCATTAATTTGTTGCTCAAAGTAAAGGTAACATAAGGGAAAATGTCAGCCTTCTTAAAATATATATCAAGGTTAAAACATTGAAATACACATGTGTGTAATACTACTCTATGAACTTAAATTCTAGTCATTTCCTAGGCAATTCCCTGATAATCCCCTGTTAACTATGGCTGCATTCATTCCCAAATTACTTATTGATTTTAATTATGTATAAAATAAAGGCAATAATATTATAGATACATATTTCTTAGAGAAATAAGGCTGACTGGCTAGTCATGTCCATGGTAGATATTACTTTATGGATCTGAGTCTGTAAATTAAATTCACACCTAAATATAGTACCTTTAAAAAAACAGTACAATGTGAAGGGCAATCCTAAACCAACTGAGTTTAACTTGACCTGAAAATTATGTCATGTGGCCTACTAAAAATAAAGTAATCTTAGAGAATATATATTACTAATTTCTATTTTACCCCCAAAACGAGATTCCAAAACGGGGCAAGACGTCTTTAAAAAGAAGCACTTTAATTTTAGCTGGTACCCAGCGACACAACCTGCATTGGAATCTGCAGAGCTGTGTAACCAAGTTAGGTTACAGGGTGTTTTTAAAAGAAGTGAAAAGAGAGGGAGCTTATACAAAAAGGGAGTTAATCTCTGCAAAATGTCAGGGCCACTTGGTCCCGGGACCGAGTGTTTTATAATTAGTGGTCAGCAAATGTTTTACAATCTAGGGTCAGTTGGTTTAGGGACCAAATTGCTATTCTGAAAGGGGATAATTCACAAGAAATGAGAGTTGAAACATGGGTCAGGGTAATGATGCTTACAGAACAGGATAGTGGCACCTCAGCCAGGTTACAACAATTTCATTTAAAAATATTTTTAAATTACCTACAAATAGAGCTAGAAGTTGCTAAATATTAAAGTGTAACATTTCCTAATGCTGCAGATTTACACGAAGCCAGATAAAACCTGAAATGAAAAAATACTCATTTTCTTATGCCATTTAAAACAGAGCCATTCAGTAATTGAATTTATAAATGTAACAGCTGAATTATGCTTTTTATTTATGTTTCACCGTATCACATGAAAACTCATTTCCCAGTAAGGAGCCAAATAAAGAAAAAGAAGAAATATCCTAAAACTAATGAAATACTGTATTTGTTCCAACTAGTATTATTTAATGTTTAACTTCATGAGCTGTTACTATCAATATCTATTTCTCCTGTGATTAATTATGAAGACTAATTTTAAACACTTCATGTATTCGAAAAATATGCCCAAATGATGGTACATTTCTGATTATTTTCAGCAAATACTTTATTTGATTTTTTAAAAGCAAATTTTAAAATCTAGACCTATTTATCTTATATTCATCTGAAGATAAGAGAATCTATACTAGACAAAATTTAAAACAAATCAGAATTTATGTGACTATAACTGTGATTCACCAAATTTAAGAATGAGAAAGGAAAACATAGTATTTCTGTTTCAGCTGTATTATCAGTGCCACTATAGTATTAAATGCTAAATATAACATCAGTGCTACTTCTGCTTTGGAATCTTGCTAAGACAAATCTTGATGACAAAAGAAAAGGTCCAACTTCATAAAATTTTCATGTATATGTCTTCTGTATAATTAAAAGAATACACATATTCTTAATATCTTTTATTTATTGGTATATGTTTGCAGTACATAATTATATTCTTCATAGGGCACTGATACATATACATAGCATATCTTATTCATTTCTATTTTCTCTTCCCCTTCTGGCTGTCTCCTCTCTTTTATCCCCAGGTTTCCTTCCTATCTCCCCAAAGTCTTTTCCCATCATCTCTCTTTTATTTTATTCCTAAAATTATTTATATTTTTGGGGTTCTTACATAAGAGAAAACATGTAATATTTAACCTTCTGTGTCTAATTTATTCCATTTAGCATTACAGTCTCAAGATGCATCTATTTTTGCATCTATTTTCCTACAAGTAACTCAGAATTTTCCATCTTTGTGGCTAGTGTTCCATTCCACATTTTCTTTATCAATTAATCTATTAATGAATTTACAGACCATTTTCATGATTTAGATACTACAAATTGTGCTGTTATAACCATGGATATGCATATGTCACTGTAATGTGATGTCTTTGACTCTGTCAGAAAAATACCAGGATGGAGAACAGCTGGGTCAAACAGAATTTCTATTTTCAGATTTTTTGAGGAATCTTTCCCCTGATTTCCATAGTAATTGCACTCGTTGACATTCCTATGAATAGTCCAGGTTTTACTCACATCGTAGCCGGCATTTGTTATTTTTGAGTCTCTAATGATAACCATACTTACTGGAGCATGATGGAATTGTAGTTTTTTTTTTAAGTTTTCATTTATTTGATGGCCAAAGATGCTGAACACTTTATCATATACTTTATCATATAGTTTATCATATACTTACTGTCTTTTATTTATTTTCTGAGAAGTGTCTATCCAAAATTATCCATTTTTGACTGACTGTTTTTGGAAGGATGTCTAATTTTGATTTTAGTTATTCACAGGCATTAATTCTTCTAAGGAGTAGCTGGCAATTTTTCTTCCATTCTGTAGGTTCTCGCTTCACTCTGTTGTTTTGTTTACTCTTCAGAAAATTTTTAATTTGATATCAACCTATATGTTGTTTGGTATTTTTTTGTGTGTGCAGTTGGGGTTCTGTTCTGTTCTATGCCTATGTCTTTAAGAGTTTTACCTATTTTATCTTCTAGCACATTTAGCATTTCTGTTTTATCTATTTTATTTCCTGGCACATTTAGTATTTCTGTTTAATATGTATACTTTTGTTTTATTTTGATTTTAGTATAACATAAGAGATGGGGTCTAGATTCATTCATATACATACATATATATATATATATATATATATATACATATACATATACATATAACCAGTTTTCTCAGCTCCATTTGTTAAATAGGCAGTCTTTTCTCAAACATAAGTTTTTGTCATCAATTGCTGGAGTTTCCTGTAGTGGTTTCTACTCCGCTGATCACCAAATCTGTTTTTGTTCATTACCATGCTATTTTTAATCACTGTAGCTTTGTAGGGTTACTTGAAATCTGATATTGTAATGCCTCCTGCTTTGCTCTTGTTCAACATTGCTCTGAATATTCTAGGTTTCTTCGATTCCTGATCAATTTTGGGAGTGTTTGTTCTAGTTCTTTGAAGAATGCTAATAGTAAAAAGCCTCTGACTCAACATCCATTCATGATAAAAACCTGAGAACTATAGGTATAAAGGACCTTACCTCAAACTGATAAAAGCCATGTATGACAATCCACTTCCAAAATCATACTGTGAGGAAGAACTGAAAGCATTCCCTCTAAATCAGGAACATGACAAGGGTGTTCACTTTCACCACTCCTTTTCAATATGGTTCTCAAACCTTTAGACAGAGCAATGAGACAAGAGAGAAATAAATGGGATACAAATAGGAAAGGAAGAAACCAAACTATCCAGATGAAGCCCCAGAAAGTGTGAACATGGACCATGTCACTAGAATTTTCTGCACAATGCTCGTTGTTTTGTTCATAGACCTAGAACCTAGCAGTGGCCAAGAATTCTTGTCAGAAAGCTACAATAAACCATTTGAGTGGTAAATATTATATAATCTATATGTACAATTGACCTTGTTTCTTGAACAAATAACATGAAAAAGCCATCAAATGAAGGGGAGAAGACCTACCTTGGATGTGAGTAACACTGACTGACAAGCTAATGGCCTGGATATAACCAAAAAAGGACATAAAAAGAAAAACAAAGTGCCCCAACTTTTTTTAGAAGAGCTTCAATGTTTACCATTATCTTTGGTCTCTAGTGTTTCAGCCTTCCAATGCAGACTCTCACTAGTGAATCTATAGTGATCTTCAGCCCTTCAACCTTTGACTGCTACTGTCTCTTAGCATGCAGATGATCCTACTGAATTCTTCTGACTCTAATCCTGCAGATGGCCATTGTGACTCTTTTGCTTGTGATCCTAGTCTCACTGTATAATCTACACTGGCCTTGAGCTCACAGTTCTCCTGCCATAACCTTCCCTAGTGCTGAGATTACCGTCATATGCCACTACATCTGCTGCTTCAGTGAGAATACTGACACATAACTGAGAAAGCAGACTGTCCAGACCTTCATCAGGATTCTAGGTTGCCTTGTTGCTGCATTTGCCTCCAGGATCTAAAGAAGCATTGCAGAGCTGATGACTACTTGTGTAAACTTCAAAAGATTCATCACCATTAGAGATCATGTTTGGACAAGGTTTAGGCACAAATCTGCAGCCTGAGCATGGACAACTGGGAAAGTCTGCCTGAGCTCCTATATCTTCCATGCTTTGCTCTGAGAATTAACCATGAGTATGATATTGATGCCTATGCCATTATCAAAATTATTCAAACTACACCAGATAATGAATTGGATAGCACTACCAATTAATTATTCCACCATTTGGAAATCTTTTGACCAACCTGACTAGACACAGAAACTGAGCTGCTAATCTGCATCAGCAATTACTATTTCCCATGATTTTTGTTTTTATAACAGTGCTCCTGACTAAGTTCCTAATGTCTTGTACCATCTAGCAGATATCTTATACTAACAAATCTTAATAGGTACAGGTGCCTTAAAATGAAAAAAAAAAACTGGCATACATTTTACAAATAAAAGAGTATCTATTCATTCCTGGAAAGATTGATAAAGACTTCCCTCCTTGATTAAACTCAAACTCCTCTGAGTTGTATTCTTAACTAGGCTTCAACCTTGGCCTAACACCCTCTAGTCAGCACAAATGATTTAATTCACTACTCCTCCAGAGAATCTTTAAGAAATTTTAGCATTCAAAACTGTGTCTCTTGAGTAACCAGCCAGATACCTGTGTAGAAAGCACACAGTGCTACCGAAACAATCACTGCCTCTGTCAGCCAACACAGAATTGTAAGACCCCTGCCTCCTAGTCTCTGAGAGTGTATGGACCTACTCTCCATCAGCACAGGTTAGCAAAGGAAGATATCTTTGCCACATGCATCAACTTCTCACTCTGCTTTTTACAACAGTTTTTCACATACATGACTTTCTTGAGCTTTGTTAGTTCTCCCTTCTCCCTGCATTCACTTCCCTTTGCCATGCCCAGTCACAATTACAGAATTTGAACTTGAGCTCATTTTATGTAGAATGCTTTTACCTATGATGATAGTTATTACTGAATAAAATCTGTCTTTACTGTCTTAAAAAGGTGACTCTTAGGACTAATGCACTCATCAAAGTATTAAGCTAAAAAAGATCAATACACTAAAATCTTAATTTTAGACTGTGCTAGTTCATAAAGAATGCCTGATGAAATAGCATCCTGTTTTTAAATGCAGTGAAAGTTCAGTATTTTGATTCATTACAGAACTTTTTCCTTGAAGGCAAAGGACACTGTCATTGAGCAAATCATTCCTAGAGGTCTTCATATTTCAACATGTTCACCTTGCTTCTTGAAGAGTTTCATATTCGATAAATATCCAAAGAACATTATAGTTATATCACTGTATGCTCCAAAATATGTTTATTTTCACTTCACTTTTTCTTAAACAGTATCTGTAATAAGAATTGCTATAAAGGGATCCTTTACCATTGTCACTGTTCTTTAGAGCAAAATAAAAAAGATACATGAGTACTCTGGATATAGTTATTGGACTGTTATTGTGAAGGTTACTTCTTTTAACATATGTAACCATCATTCTAATACTATAAAGCATAGTCCTAAACTATTCCTTACTCTTTCATATGTTTATATCTAAAAACATTTGACGTCATATTACAATGATATATGTATATGTATGTTTTAGCAGCATAATAGCTAAGTCTTGTAAGCAGCATGTACATCCATGAAAAAATAAATAGATCAAGAAAACGTGATGTTTATACCCAGTGGAATAGTACTCTATCATAAAGAAAGATAAACTTGGGTCATTTGTAGGAAAATGCATGTACCTTTAGACCATAATATTAAGTGAAATAAGTCAGACACACAAACTTAAATATCACATAATTTCTCATAAAGAAAAAACTCAAAGTACAAGTAAGGGACAAAATAAAAGACACATAGTAGGAAATAGGGAGATAGATCTTCATATGTGAAGGGAACCAAGAGATAGAGGATAAAATAATTAAGCTGTGTTACGTACATGTACCAATTCTCCATGAGGAGTGTAATCATTATGTAATGCAAATGTACACCAGTAAAAGATTTAAAGTTTGTCAACTAAGTAAATGGCATGTTTTAATAACTGCCATTTGTTGAGGGAAACAGAAAAGAAGAGCTTAGTGACTAATTGATAACACAGTGACATGGTCCAAATAAACTATGAAACATAGTAAGAAACTGCTTTCCAGTCCTATTACTTCTTTTTGTTTTGAAACAGAAGCTTAATAGGAACTTGGTTCCAACTGACAAAATTTTGACAACATAACCATATACCTATAATGTAGTTTACTTTTTTCATAAAAATATAAACTATCATTCAAAACAAAGCCCAATGAAGTCTTGAATTGTACTTGTCCTGCAAGGGCTTTGCAAGACAAGCAAAACATTTCTAATGAATTTTAACTTACTAAATGAGCAGTGTCTTGCAATATGAAGGCAAAAGCATTGGATAGGTTCCTTAAGGTTGCACAAAAAGAACAAAATTCCATTGAGCCAGTAGATAGCAGTGATAGTGAAAATCACTCTACAAAAGAACCTTCTCTCTTGTCTCACTCATACCAGCAAAGGTTTGCAAAGGTAAGTACAGGTTAATTTATTTGTATTTTGCATTTTCTTTATTATTTTGTGTTATTTGATACACTAGGACTTTGAATTACAAACATGTTTCCAGAATGAATCATGGTCACCAAACAAGGCTTGAATGTATATGGTTTTCATGTGCAATTGCCACAAAATTAAATGAACACTGCTGGCTATTTTGGTCTCAATATTTGGAGGTAAGTCAGGCGACAGAAGTATAACACTAGTAATCAACCAAGATCGGTAGCTACCACCAATGTTCCCTAAGCCATCTATTGAGTCATGGTTTCAAGGAAAACAATTACATATAGGGCACATAATATATAGTATTATATATAATGGTCACCCAAGGAGTCAAATACAAGTGCAGGAAATCTGTCCACTCACAAAGACCTAGACAATCCAACCAAGGGCCTGGATCCCATGGCAATAACCCGCATGAGTTCAGCTGGAAACCTGGAGCCTCCCATAAATCCAACTGGAGGCCTAGAGGGCACAACAATGACTCATCAAATCTGTTTCATGGATCTTCCCTGGGAAGGTCCAAAGGTCAGCAGTAGAAGCCAGAAAGTATGTGCCAGGGGTATGAAGGATCTGTGCCAGTAGGTTGAAGGTTCTGCACCGGAACCAGGAAGCATTTCTCAAAGGACTAGGGCTTCTCCAAAAAGTACCACAGGCATTCTAAGCAACAATGAGGTCCTAAGCTCCTCTGAAGATGAGAATGGCCGAGTTTGTATCAAGAAGCCAGTGTAACAAGCTTCTCCTAGATTGAACAACACACATCCTCCCCCAAAGTGAACCACGGCCAATCTCAGCAACAAGGTCCCAAGTTCCTCCAATGATAACAGCTGAGTTTGTATCAGGGGACCCAGCATGAAAAGCTCCTCCAAGGTAACCAACAGCTCCAAGCAAGAACATACAGAACCAACAGCATTCACTTAGGAGAACCTACTTTACTCTTCTTTTTATGCTGGCAACTGTTCTGGAGTTAACTCAGCACCACACTGATTCATTTTAGCTGGTGTTTAAGTTGACCATCAGTTTTCAACCCACCACACCATCATATGCCAGTATATCTTATTGGGATGTATGTTTTTATTCAGAAGTTGTACGGTAGGCCTGAGATTCTGCACTGCTCATAAGCAAGCAGTGGTACCAATCTGCTGGCCTATGGACCACATTTATGATGACAGGGAACTAAAGAATATTCATATTAAAAGAAGCTAATGCATCTTCCTTTATTAATAAAAAATACTGCCACAGGAAAATAATTTCACAGGTTTTGAGGTTGAGAATTACAAAATACTGATTAATTATATAAGAATTATAACTTACACTATAAATTTTACATAAATCTATTCAATAAGCTTTCATATTATTTAATAGATTTTTAAATCTTATAAGCAATACACAATGTGAAATTTAAATTTTTCACTTTAGAAAATTTCTCTGCTTTTCCTCATTTTCTCTCATTACCCACTTTTGACATTCATATATGTATGTCTAGACTCTACCCAAATGGAACAATATATCACCAGTAATACCACATGTGGGCATAAATATATCACTAGTGAGAATATATCACCAGTAATACTGCATGTGGACATAAAAAATAAAATTAAAAATGTACTATACTATGACATTTCTGCTTAAGTCTAATTATTAGTGTATAAAGTAATTGCAAAAGTCAAGAGATCAGGAGCTACAGATTTAGTTCAGTGGCACAAGCACCTGCCTAGCAAGCGCAAAGTCATAAGTTCCATCCCTGCTACCAAAAAAAAAGTCAAGAGATCTTTTTGTCTCCCAAGGTTATTTGACTAAAATTCACTTAATCTTTCTTTCTGTTCTCCACCTGTAGCACTATACAAAATAAAGCAGATATTTACAAGATTATTTAGGGGATCAAATTTAGTTCACAGAATTAAAGGATCAACAATTCTTTTTTTTTTTTTTTTTTTGTCTTTTTCGTTTTTATCGGTACCAGGGATCAAACTCACGACTGCCTGCTTTCAAGGCAGGCGCTTATGCCGCTGAGCTAAATCCCCAGCCCCCAGGATCAACAATTCTTTAAGAAAAGTTTGTGCAAAGACAGTATTTACAAATTGAAAATGAGCAGGTTATTTAATGTTTTCTGTTTCTTCATCTCTAAAAATAGAAAAAATACTATTTTGAATAAAAATAATGTTCAGTGAAAGCAAGCACTCAATAAACGTGTTTTCTTCTCCTTATTTCTTTCCTTCCTCATTTAAAACTTGATTTGAAAAGGCCGTAGCCTAGATTTATTACTCATCTGCTTATACAGATCAAGTAAGAATTTAATAACTTGGTGACTTATTTGCATTCCAGTTACAGCTCAACTCCTCAACACCATAATCTCTGTAGGTCAAACTATTCTGATTATTATTTTGACTGGACTGTGTATTATGATAAACCAGACCAGCTTATCTTTGAGAATTAAGCACCACAATTTGGTCCCTGACATCCTTGAATCCCATTGTCTCCATTGCATTTAAAAATCCTAGTAGAAGTTTTCTCTGTAATTTCTGAACTACAGAGAAGAGAGACCACAGAGCTTTTAAAGGATACAGAGGTGCCCCCATAAATTTTTATCGTGACTAGTGACGGGTATATCCTTGCAGGATTAGAGAATCAGTTTTGCATGGTAAATATGCTTTAACATTGCAATCTCTGTAAGTCTTTCAGATTTCTTCCTCTATAATAAGGCATTTCATTTCATTTTGTTTCATTTCATTTTATTTCATTTCATTTAGAATAGGCCGTCTTTCAGACCAGTCAACTAGTCAACCAGTGAACCAAGAGATCCACTAAGTAAGCCCTTCCTAACTGTGTGAACTAAAGTATTGAATCTCTCATTAGTGAGATCAATATCAATATGAAGATCAATATCATTAGTGAGATCCTGTATCAATAAAAGCCTGATCTGAATATACTCTGTCACACACCCACTGATCTGAATATACTCTATATCACACACCCACTGTCACAGATATCCCTACGTTTGTTTATATAATTTGAAAAGCCATGTATTCTTTTTGGTATCCACATTTCTCAGAGTCACACCTTGCACCTGATCCTTTGAAGGCTGTCTGAACTTGAATCTAAAGATCTAGACACAAAAAGAAGTGTTGTGAAGTACATATGAAGTAGAATCATGAATAACACATGCAACTACCTTAGAGGAGGCTATTCCACATTCTCTAGGTAGAACTAGGCTATTTTGTTACATTATGTTTCTTCAGAGAAGCAGAAATAAGTAAATAATATACATGTTTAGGGAAAGATTCAACATGGATGAATAAAGAAGGACTCACATAGTTTTTCAGAGAAAATCAACTAAAAAAAAGGTAATTAGAAGAAAGACAGACATTCTGATACTGATACCAAAATTAAAGTAAGATACCTTGTAGATCAAACAAAACAGAGGCATGGGAATTTATAAAAGAATAAGCCAGCCCACAAGACTACCCATGGGTCCCCTGCCAGCAGAATTGGGGTCAAGATCAGAGCACAAACAGCCATTCCCAGAAAGTTTTCCCCCAATAAAGTGGAGAGATGGGAAGGGTGTGGCAAATTCAATCCATACAGGATAGACCTAGAATACATGTCCCTAGCTTCTTTAGATTTCCTGCAGATAGGAGCTTCTGCAGACTGGCAACAAATTTTGCTGGCACACACAAAGGTGAGTGACTGTGGCCACCAGTTTGTTCTTTTTTTTCTTCTTTATGTTTCTCATTCTCTGTCGAACACCGTAACTGCTAACTAGAACCCCTAGGGACAACAAGGTTAGGGACTTGCCATGGCATTAAGGATTTCTAGTGAAACAACACAACTCCTACCCTATCACCAGTGCAAGAGATGGACTTGGATCATCTTCCA